TACTGCAATACTGAAAATACTGGCAGTATTGTACTGTACTAAACCTGCCCGTGCTTTGTGTTCTTTTCTTTCTTTCGATCATTTTGTTTTCTTTTTCCGAGTGGTTTGTATCCTATTTTTGTTTTTTGTTTTCTCGCGGCGTCGTATGTGCCNTTTATTTTGATCGGTCTCCTCGACGCTCTTTCTCGTTTGGTGCGGTAGCTGGTCTTTCTTTCTATCATTTTGTTTCTCTTCCGAGTGGTTTTTGTACCCTATTTTTTTCTGTTTCTTCGTGGGGTCGTGTATGCCGGGTTTTGAGACCACGGGCTCCCAATCTTTTTTTTTTTAGAGCTAATGTGAGAAACAACAACAACAAAACAACAACAAGAGCACAGAATCGACAACCAGCAAAACCACGTGTTTCAATGTGTCGGGAAAGACAGGGGCACGTGCGTGCGTACCTCGCGCAGTGACCCTCAACGTCATGTAAAAGCAACACCGTCGGCAGAAAGCGCGTGCATAAGTACACACATAAAACTGGAAAACAAGCATAACTGCGTGCATAATTCGCTGCTGTAAGCACATGCTCAGCCAGAAAAATCCGCATAAAAAAATAAAAAATCCGCATATCAGGTATAAGCCTAAGCAAAAGCTTGTCGAGGAGCGAGGGGAAGAAGGGAGAATTAGGCCCGTTAGGGGTACGCTTTTTGTTTTAATAATAATAATAGTTTTTTTTTGTTTAAAAGTGTGGCCCGTAAGGGGTACGCTTTTTGTTTTGTTGTTTTGCAAAAAAAAAGCTGTTTAGAGGGATCGTGGGTGGAGTATGTGCGCACGAGAAAAAGAATAGTTTTCATGCCTAGGGGCGTGAAAATTACTCCATGGCTGTCTGTCCGGTGTCTGGCGTCTGGTGTCTGTCTGCGCGCCCTAAATACCCAGCAGACTCGAGCCCATTTCACCATCTCGGCACCAAATTGCAAACTAAAACTTGCGCACAACAAGTAACATTTTGCCCGAGCTGTCCCAACCGCTACCTTTGCAATCCGTGGTCGGTGTCTCGAGATAGCACACCGTTTGTGCAAATATATATGTCCATGGACGCATCCCCTGGAGGCGTCGTCATTTTTGTTTTTCTCTGGGCAACAAACTACACGCTAATGAACAGAGAGCGGGACGGGAGCAGGGTGTGCCCTATACTACTGCTGCTGCTAGCTTTCGGCGGAGGAAGCGAGAGGAGAGATATTGATTGGGTCTCTGTGGGTCCATCGGTTGGTTGTTGTTATGGTGTTGCGACGCGGCGGGAGGGAGCGGCCTCTGACTCTGCTCTGGAGAGAGGCACACATACATCACAGCACGGGACCAGTAACACATCACGCTCGTTCCTAGACGATGTAGTACCACTGCTGTGCTGTGCACCTCTCTACACTCATTGTGGGCGAGAGGGTGTGTCGCCTCTGCTGCTGCTGCTGTTGCTGTTATCTAAAGCGGTGGCGGAAGCGTCCTGTTCAAACAATCAGCAGCAGCAGCAGCACAAGCCGGGGAATTTTTCAACGTTTTTTTTTTCCTCTCTAGCTGATGACGATGGATAGCACCCCCCTCCCTCTCTAGCTGGTGACGATGAATACCACCCCCCTCGCTAGCTGATGATGGACACCACCCCCCCCTCTAGCGAATGATGATGGATACCACCCCCCTCTCTAGCTGGTGATGATGGACCGCCCCCCGTTCTTCTGTAACAGACGCACGAGCCTACTGCAGGTACTTTTGTGCAACCACCACAAAAAACTATTCCACCTCCCGATCTAGTAACCTAGAGGTGCACCAGCGTATGCCCACACCGCGGATAGTACACGGTCAACGGGAGCGTGCGTGTACACGGAGAGAGTGTATGCAGCTGCCGGAAGAATACTAGACTACTGCTGTGCGGCTCAAACGGCGAAGAAAATTCTTGGCGTTGGTGTGCTCTGGTGCGTAATGCACCTTCAAAACAAGAGACGCACTGCTAGCTGCTGCTGCACTGCTGCAGGTAACAAAACGTATCCCCCGCGGCACACGAAGGGTTGAGTGTGTGGCAAGGCAAAACTGAAAAAAAACAAGGGCGATTCATCCCTAGTCTTAGGAGCAGGCTGCTTGCTGCTGGGGTCTAAGCATATCTTCTGCTCTTGTGTAGCTGTACTGCCGTACCGCCGTACCTGCCGTACCTGGTGTTTCGTGCNAGCTGCTGCTGCACTGCTGCAGGTAACAAAACGTATCCCCCGCGGCACACGAAGGGTTGAGTGTGTGGCAAGGCAAAACTGAAAAAAAACAAGGGCGATTCATCCCTAGTCTTAGGAGCAGGCTGCTTGCTGCTGGGGTCTAAGCATATCTTCTGCTCTTGTGTAGCTGTACTGCCGTACCGCCGTACCTGCCGTACCTGGTGTTTCGTGCCTGCTGAATTAGTAGCGGTGTTCAATACAGCGGCCGGTGCCGCTCCTCTCTCTCTAACAAGCAAAATCCCGGGGGGACATGTCTGCAGTGTGGTCTGCTGCGTTGCGCGTGCTTTGCGGCCTGTCGGCGGTGGTTAGTCTAGACTATGCATGGTTATGTATGTGCTGGGCTGTGTTGTTTCGCTGCTGTTTTGAGTTTGAAAGTGGGTTTCTGGTTGTGTGGTTCTGGAAGCGTTTGAGTCGTGCAAGTTGTTATTTGCAAGTGCACAACCCCTGTAGAAACCCCACTGATCAGGCGGCTTGCGGCGCAACAGACCTCCACACCCAGCACCGGCTCTAGAGGGCGAACCAGAGGCTAAACTGCCCAGACAACACGAAAGGTATGTTAACACGATGAAAGGGCACAGCAGGGTATCTTTAATACGCCCAGATACACATGATGTACCCGGCTGATGTTGTTGCGCCCTGTTTCCCTCCCTGCCGTATTCTATACTCCTTTATGTATGTCCTTTTTACTGCCTTCGGCCTCTGTGCTGTGTTTCTTTTTTTCATGACCTCCCTGCCTACTCTGCTGTGTTGGGTACCTTGATCTCGCTTTGCTGTTGCCTTTGTTTTTGTACGTCTGGCTGTCTGCCCATCTGCCGCCTCTTTGCCCTGTTTGCTCCGTTACTCCCATGCCCTGGTGCGCAGTGCCTGGTGCTGGTACGTTACCCTTTGAGTTTTTCTTTCGGCGGGTATGGGAAGCGTCCCCCTTTATTTTTCTGTTATTTTTGTTTTTGTTATTTTTCTTAATATAACACAACGAGTCCATCTCTATCACAGAAAAGAGTCAGAGACAGATTAACAATGGAATCATAGCGTCAGAGAAAACTACCTGTGTGTCTACGATTTCCCAGACAGCATATAGGGACATCTCCCCTGTGGGTAACAGGCTCAACAAATCAGTTTGGTAGCTGTCTTGTGTGTCTCATATATGTTATGTTGGGAAGGTGCAGACGAAAGGTGTTGGGTACTGTTGGGTAGTCGGGCGTTTTGTGTGTCGCACCCTATTAGTTGTAGGACATGCAATCTCCATCAGTTTACAAACATATTCTCAGTTTGGTATGCATATGTGCGGAGTATGTGCGGCTTATGTGCCATCGCTATCATAGAAAAGAGTCAGAGACAGATTAATAATGGAATCATAGGGTCAGAGAAAACTACCTGTATGTCTACGATTTCCTAGACAGCATATAGGGACAACTCTCGGGTGACAGGCTCAAAATATCAGTTTGGTTGCTGTCTTGTGTGTATCATATATTTTATGTTGTGGAATTTCATGTCGTTAAATGTGAGAAGGGCACGGGAGAACATTTCTCATCATTGCCTCCTGATGACGTGGTCGCCGATAGAGGCGTGTGGTTGATGAGGTTTCATAACCGACATGTGGGTGTGTGTTTTGTTTTGTTTTGTTTTTATCGGTGTCCGAGGGCTCTTTTCTCGAACGGTCGGTGCAATACCTATTCATTTCTTTCTATCATTTTGTTTTCTTTTTCCGAGTGGTTTGTACCCTATTTTTGTTTTTTTTGTTTTCTCGCGGCGTCGTATGTGCCGGGTTCTGAGACCACGGGCTCCCCATTTTTTGTGGACTATAGAGCTACTGTGAGAAACAACAACAACAACAACAACAACAACAACATGGTAGGGTGGGAAATTGAGACTTTAGCTGGAGCATACCACACTGTGGCAGCTCCAAAATCCGCGAGGAAGCTTCACACGCGAGCCGACCTCTGCGCAAGGTTGGCGTCTTGCAGCCTAATTATGCTGCCAACACAGATCTAGGTCTCATTGCCACCTAATGAAAAAGGTTTGAGGCGATTTAGTGCGGTAGAACATAAGCATGGTGTGTTCAAAAATCAAATTTCAGGAGAGCCCACGCCGATGGGATCGAACGCACGCTCTTGCATGTTGCGCATGTACACCCACTGGATACACGACCCGCATCCAAAGATACTATGGAAATGCCTGATACAGTCCGGCCGCCAAAACAATTTACAGGAAATATGGACTTCGAGAGGGCAAGTACGTCTGTCTTGAAGTTAAAATTAGACTCGGTGCTTTGCCAAGGTACGAGTCAAACATGACCCGGGGCGCTCAGCTACGTACACTCCAGACCGTGCATATACAGCAAGCAGTAGATTGAAACGCCGCAGAAATGTCGAATCGGGCATATATAGTACGTAGATGGACAGCTTTCAGTCCGTCATGCTACGCATGCCCATACAAAGGACCATATGTTATGCATGGCTGTCAAGAGACAACGAAGCAGGCCACAGGCATAGCATAGGTGTGCGCCTGCGTTTGCTGTACGTGTCACGTGATATTTTGTAGTTTTTGGTCGTATACCATGGCCAGGTATTTAATGCATGGGATAACGGCCGGCACAGGTCGTGCTGACAGATGACCCGTCGGAGAGGTAGGCGGAGCAGTCGGGCTGGTGGAGCTAACAACCCCAAAGGTCAACCGGCTACGCCACCGGCTACGCCTCGGAACCAGCCTGGCAGCTCTGTTACACCCGGAAGCGGGGGTATGCAGCCAACATGGGACCTTCGTCAGCATACGGAAGGCACGCTAACCCCGCGTACTCCAGTGGTCGACAGCTCAGGGGGAGACGAAACAAGTGAACGTCCACGAATCGGGAGCAGGAGAGAGGGCAACCTATCCACTGAGGTGCGTACCCCCCCCCCGCCGCGACAAAGCGCGACGCGAGAGATTCCGGTGCACGCGTCCGTCGGACGGGAGGAAAATCCCGGTCGGGTAGGAAGCACAGGAAGAGGCCCTCTGTTGGTGTCATGCGTGGTGGCCTACCCAATCTTGAGAGCAAGCTCGAGGAGGAGGATTACTACAGACAGCAGGGTGAGGCGAGGAGGGAGGCATCGGCCCGTATAGCTCGCGCGATTGCCGAAGACGAACGGCGAAAAGCAGAGTCCGAGGGGAATCACCTCGTTGATCCTCGGCGTAGGAGTCACGGCGGGAACCTAAGACAAGCCGATTATCAGCCTGGAAAGCGGAATGCGGGTAGGAGACTTTCTGCCCCAGCGGTGCTATTTGTACGCCAGCCAACAAGCAAGAAGCGAAGAAAGGCGTGCGAGCGGATGGAATGCGGATGGGTTACAGACCACCCTAGCACCGAGTGTAGCAAACGGCCCGGGAGTGTAGTGCACTCGGACGACGATAAGTTATGTTCGGCATGCCACAGGTCTCCGAATGACGACGGTTTCAAGCACCTCCGCCCGGACCGGTTAGGGTGAGCAGCAGACTTCGTGACCGCGTGGACACAAGGAGAGAAAACCCTCCCTCCAGCTCNTCGTTGATCCTCGGCGTAGGAGTCACGGCGGGAACCTAAGACAAGCCGATTATCAGCCTGGAAAGCGGAATGCGGGTAGGAGACTTTCTGCCCCAGCGGTGCTATTTGTACGCCAGCCAACAAGCAAGAAGCGAAGAAAGGCGTGCGAGCGGATGGAATGCGGATGGGTTACAGACCACCCTAGCACCGAGTGTAGCAAACGGCCCGGGAGTGTAGTGCACTCGGACGACGATAAGTTATGTTCGGCATGCCACAGGTCTCCGAATGACGACGGTTTCAAGCACCTCCGCCCGGACCGGTTAGGGTGAGCAGCAGACTTTGTGACCGCGTGGACACAAGGAGAGAAAACCCTCCCTCCAGCTCTCGTGCGAGACTTTAGGCCTAGCAATGACTGCCTCTGCGCACGCCCAGACTGCTTCCTAGCATGTTTCGCCGAGGAAGAAAGTAAGGCTGAGTCTCGCGTTTGCGGTACTTATGGGTACCGGAAATCGGGCAAGAGCATTGTAAGGTGGTACCCCATGGATGCTGCAGATGACGATGTCGCGGAGGGGAACGCAGCGGTGAGCGATGGCCTTTGGTGGTGCGGCCCCTGCTATCAGAAACGGTTGGACGGCATCAAGAGAGAAGAGAAACATCCAGAGCACCCAGCGAACAATGCGCATGGATCGGGGGGTGAGGCGCCGGTGCCTCCAGATCCGTTGGACACGGTGCGCGCTATGGTGGAAGAAGTCGTCCGTCGAGGTGAGATCCTGTACTGGCAGGACGTCGCCGATTGGGCAACAGCGAAAGCGCGAAGCTTGGCATGGAGGAGTTACAAGGGAGATACCCAAGAAAAATCGTCCGGGCCATATTTGCAAGCATCGAGGAGTCCGGGACTTCACGCTTGGTCAGTCACGAGCCAGCACATGGAGACGCACGCGAGCGAGAACTTTTCTTCTTCCCAAACACCCTTGGGGACGAGCATCTCGTTGACTTAATGCTTCGTGCTCGCCGTAATGCACCCGTACAGCCACCATCCAACCAGCTAGCGGANCAACAGCGAAAGCGCGAAGCTTGGCATGGAGGAGTTACAAGGGAGATACCCAAGAAAAATCGTCCGGGCCATATTTGCAAGCATCGAAGAGTCCGGGACTTCACGCTTGGTCAGTCACGAGCCAGCACATGGA